ACCAACATTTTGTGTTTTTTACAATTTGATAAAACCTAATTTCTCGTTACTAATACGTGCACCACCCACTCTTCATTAAGTTAGAAAATTTCCATCTGATGCAGCTCGAAATACCATCACTATTAGTAATCTTCTATGGGATTTTATCTGTCGGTTATTATATTTTCATGTCAAGGATACTAAAGAATATTTCTGCAACAATACCCTCCACGCATATTAATAGAATTATCGTTAAAGTCCTTCTGGTTGTATCTGGCGTATAAAGAAAGCCGTCGCTAACAAGCATATGGCCCAAATTACTCGTGGTTTAATTACAGAAGTCATTTACCTTGAACGCAAATATTTTAGAAAATCGTTCAATAAATTTAAGCAAATAACTTTATCAACAGGTTATTCTTACATATTCAAATTGTTGTCTCGGAACTAGACGATAAATTATTTCAACACCTAAGGCCGCATCTGTCAAGTCAGATTACTGCCAGTCGTATTATAATGCAATGTGCCAAATCATTTTTCATTTCGGCACCTTTTTAATTGATTCAATTTTCTTGGGTTTCATAGCAACAACCCTTTTATCTTTCTCTGACTGACCTCCGGATTGATACATTATATTGAAAGCACTATAATGGCCGGCAGGTGTAATGGTTAAAAAGCATACTCCCATCAGTTACATTGCTCAATCAACCGTTTGAAATTTGAACGACCCGCAGCTTCCATAAACTTATTAAGCATTAAATTGATTTTCACTGCTCTACCTTGAAGAATTTGTCAATCTGTCCTTCCTCGATTAATCTCTTCCAAAATCATCGCGTCTATTAATACTATGACGGGCGAAATTTCCTCTTCAACATTGCCGAAATTGCTAACGGTATTTTCTCAACAAGAATTTCGCGACATTATAAAACCTGAAAGTATATGAGGTGTTAATTTCTCAGACATGTTGCGAATTATATCACCCATTCATCATTTTTATACTTGTGTTAATATAAAACAATATCTATTGTTTAGCCCTATATTCGCAACATGAAGAAAGAGAAATGTCAACCATTGTCCTTGACACTTTATAACTGGAATGAATAACAGCAGTGCCGCCACAACGTTCCTCAACTACGGAATTGCCTTTCAAATGGTTTTATACTGACAGTTGTTACTTCTGTTAAATAATACGATATTTTAACCAATTATATTCCAAGTGTCTCAAGTTCTAATTATGCCTCAAACTAGACTAGGAAATACTGTCACACGGCATTACTCTTACGTAAATGTGTACGTACAAGTTATTAATATTTCATACAATTCACATTCAAATTATCATGATTAATTATAGCAGATAGTAACTACTCGTAAAAATCACATGCTTGACATACACCTTACTAACCTTGATTCCGTTGATCTGGTTTCGAACTCGTTTTGAATTTTCGAGCTTTTGGATTCGACTTAAATGTGCCATTTTTTTGGCACTTACTGTCGGTACTACTAATATCATAATTTATATCTTCTTTTACACCATAAGTTGATAAATTAATTGCATGACCAAATTACTTTCTACTATCTAACATTCTTGAAAATTTTCTTTTCCGAAATGAGTTTTCACTGATAACTTTTTTATCTTGACAAGTTTTAATCATGTGACGTTTTCTTATCATTATTGGATGTACTGATTGACATTTAATGTTAACGACAACATTAGTTCAAAAGAAAATCATTTTGAATATTTTTTACGTAAGTGAAACAGGTCGTTAGTTGGAGAGGCAATTAGAATGTTATTAAGATTATTTTTTTTAAATAATTTAAAGCTTGTAGGAATAGCAGATTACACACGAAGATACTATTAATTAAAATCTAATGATTTTTACCTTTCAATTAGAAAAGCAAATGAAAAAACATATGAATATTGCATAAGTTGAACACATTATTGTTATCAAAGATCTGAACAGTTTTCGGAAGTACTAAAAATCATGGTCGAAATGTGCTTTCAGTACGATAGGTTACAGTTTAGGCGTAAGAGTGGGTAGGCTATTTTTGTTATTAACTGAGGTTATTTTAATGCGCAATAACAAGAGAATAATATTTTTAAGTTTTAATTTGTTCCATTTAAGCTCTTCGATTGTGATAAATATTTAAAGCAGACTTATAACACACTGTTATAAAACACTTTTTTTTTATAAATAGCTAACACTTTTTTGCACGATCAAACTTTCAAATTAGTTAATCAAGGTGTAAATTTATTAATTAAAAAAATATTAAATTAACCCACCTTTCACAAATTTATTCATAATCAACAGTACTCCAGACAGACAATAATTAAGATAAAAATACAAATTGCACGAAATATGTCATCCTTGTCAAGATAATGTTAAATGCTAACGAAATGATGTTTGCGACAGTTGTTCGAATTTTATTAGTTAATTTAAAACGAAAATTGCATTATTTACAACTAAAAGTGCATTACAGCACTTAACAAAAAAGGAGATTTATTATTGCCCTTCAGCTATAACATTATCCTTTTAATAAAAAAATAGGCAACCGGAAAATTTAAAACAATTTTGTTATTGCGTACTTTATATGCGGCTTCATCAATAATTTATGACAATGCATGTTTGAACCGCAAATTATTCTTTATAGTATGCATTTAAATGCGTTATTAAGTTAATAATAGATCTAAAAATCTAAATATATTTATCTGAAATAAATAAGTCATTGGTTAAATTTTAATTATTCTGTAAATAACTATGACTGTAGGTTTGGTATTTTTATTACACAGTGGTTAAAAAAAATGTACATAAAACTCATCTGTCAAAAACCTTGCCATTATTCTTCATATAGGATGCAATTTAATAACTACATAATTAAGCTCTTTAATTTTCATTTCTTTTTTAATTGCATCTAAAATGATGAGAATACATGATTTATCACAAGTATATATTATAAATTGAAACAAAAACATTAATAATAGGAAAACCAATAATGATGTTAATGTTGACGATTAAAACATTATAAAAAATCCTTTAAAGATCAACTTAACGACAAGAAAGTAAAATCAGTACTTCCTGATTTTGACCAGTTGCCACTGCATATCATAAAATGTATGCATATATGGAACAGTTAATGTTTCTAAGTCTGGTACTACATTATTAACATAAATCCAGTAATTTATTTACATTTATGATTTATTCTTTTTCACATTTATTTATAACTAAAAATACAGCTGTTAGCTTAAGTGACTTTAAAACTCCTGCTGTCATTAGTATTAACAATCATTTTTTCTGTAGTTATATAAATAACCGACTTTTTTTCTACAATTTTAAATTTTATTTCTTTGTTTTCTGTCCTGAAAAATAAATATACCAAAAATACCAACGACACTTGTTTAGATCTTAGGAAGGAAGTCTGTTTTGCAAATTTTACTTTTTGAAAGAAAATATCAAGGTTTTTAGAAAAAATAAAACAAATTGTCAGCTTAATCAATTTGTTCATTAATATTTTTGTGCTTTAGTTATTTTACGACAACTATGCTGAAAATATGTCTAACAACTGTCAAATAAAAAATGAGCGTTTCTTTCATGTCGAATTTTAAGAAATGTCCAGTTAAAAGTAGAGTATTTAAATTAAATCACCGGTAATTCCCAAACGTATCAACGGAAAACTATAATTTTATTGTCTTTGGTAACATTATACATTACTCAAGATTTGGTTTTAACAACCATTAAACCGTCGTTACTGAAAATGGACCCTAAGAGATATAAATATGGTATTATGTACTATCCGTATTTTGGAATGTCAGCTCGGAATTTTTTTATTGTTATTAAACGTTAATAAGTTATTAGGTTTTTTAAATGTTTGAAACCTTTGTAGCATCCTAATAGTTTACAGTTAGCTACAGCTATTCTATTATACTTATAGTAGTCCATAATAATAGGGTCTATATCGTCGCAGCTTTTTATCATCGTTGCAATAATGTTTTTAACCACAGTCTATAAATGTTTTATTACAAAGTTTTAATTACACGGTCAGGTTTAACGTATTTTCCACGCATCATCGATTTCAATTCAGCAAGCCGGAAACTGTATTGTTTGATACTGCATTTTACACGAGCCAAATAAAAGAAATTAAATAAATTTTTTAAAATTTGGAAAACATCTGTAGACGAAATCAAAAAATAATTAATGTAAGATCAATAACAGAACCCAACAAAGGCCGAAAAACAAAGCGTTAAAAATTTTGTGATGGTTGAGATCCTAATGAATAAAAAAATCGGTGCTTAAGGAAAGTCAGCAATAAAAGGTAGATTTGCTATGTGCGTTCGAGGCGAAGTCGAGGTTACAAGAAATCGAACTAAAGTAACAGATCTCCATTTTTGGTTAACAATACAAAGTTTTTGTTAATTATTTGGAATTAGTGTATTTTTTATATTTAAATTGTTTAGTTTTTTTTTGTGTGCAAATACATAATTTTTATTCAACTGTTCTGAATGTTATTAACGTTTTAATTAATGTAATATAAATAGTTACAAATATGTCATTCTTTGATTTTTTTCTCCGTGGAAACAAAAATATATACAATTTAAAAAATACAAGATTATAAACTTAAGAAACAAATTTGTGAAACCGGAAGTGTTATAAAAGTATTATAAAATTTTGAAAAATTAATTCAACGACAGACACGATTAGGTATGCAATTAGTTTAAGTGATTGTAAAATCCACACTAAAAAAATATATAATTGAATACAAGTAAAAAAAAAACAAAAGGTTAAAAATGTGAGAGTTCACTCAGAAATGTTTCTATTTTTTTTTTTTTAATAGTGGTGGGGAAATCCAGACAATTGAAAGCGTTGGCAACTCAACGCACAAAAAAAGGAAAGGACTAGGTAAAACAAGACGAACAACAATAGAACGAATCAAGAAAAATGAACGAACAATGTTGGCCCTTTCTCCGTGTCGAGAAAAGTGATGGTTGCATTGATCGAGTGTTTGCATGCACTTGGTGCGCGTTTACTTACGGAGATGGTGGTAAGGGTGAAAAGGAGCAGGGAGGAGTAGACGGAGGCACACATGTCTGCCAATTCACATCATCATGCGCCACTCACTCGCCCGTCCGCGCCCCAGCGAGCTTCGCGAGACACTGAAACAGCACAAGCACTATACTACGACTGCAAGCGACCGGAGACGTTCACACTTGGGTGCCTTCACCCGGAGTCGCTCCGGGACGGGTGGAGACTCTTCTTAATTACTTACGAGAGGGTAATCCCGACGGTTTGTGGTCGTCTCAATGTCGAATGATGATTCGAATTTTTTTGTGGAGATGTTTTCAGGGTGAACGGACTATTTTCGAGAGGGAGTCGGGGAAACGGAGATAGATTGATGGAGAGTCAGCAGGGAATTTTGTGTCACAGTTGGGGGATTTTGCTTGTGTTGTCTTTGATAAAAAAGTTGTATGTGAGCGAGTGTTATTAACTTATTGCCGTCCGTGGAATTCCTCTTAATATAAGAACTGGATCTTTGGGGTTAACCTATATTTAATGTTGGTATTTCTGTGAAATTAAAAAAATACTAAAGGCGTCAACTTCCTAGTGGGGACGAATGTATTATTTTTGATAAACCGATTTAGTTTCAGATGCCTTTATGACACCGTGTACAAGCATACCTAAAAAAATTAAATTTTATTGCCGAAATACTCTATATATGTATTATTAACCACAGATTTAAATAAAAAAATACGACACAAAATTTTTTTATTCAACAGTTTTCAATATATGTATTTCAATTTCTATGTAAATAATGGATTAATTAAACATTATTTACACAGCCATACTTAAAGATGGAGATTTGTAATTTTGCAAAAAATTTTTAGTTACTTGGACTTAATAAACCCATAAATAATTGAAAAGTTTTTCAACTTAATTATCAAAGTGGGAAAATTTGAAAATTATCAGTTTTCTCATGTTATTACAGGGTGTCCCACTTGAATATTTTTGATCTTATATCCAACTAAAATTTTTTTGATGCAAGATTTATTGAAGTTTATATAACCAGTGTTTTTTTAAATTAATTATGGTTAGGATAACAGCTCCCAACAAACCTGCTGTCAGAAGAAAGCTTCCATAGACACAGATTTGAAAACATTATTAAATACAGTGTGTTTCATTTGAAAAACATGAGAAAAGTGCATATTGGCAATTTAGTCACGTTGAACCAGTTTTAACCTTGTTCGATTTTTTACACGAAGTCAAGACAACTAGAAAGCTGCAAACCTTCATCTTTAAAAATGATGAAAATGTGAATTTTTGAATATGACGATTTTGATTTCCCGAGCGAGATATTGTAACGGAGTCAATCAGGCGAACGGCGAATTTCATGCTTGTATGTCGTCTGGCTGTCGTCTATGTGTGGACTCTACGAGTAGTAGACGAATAATCTCCGAAACTATTGGATTAATTTTTGTCGAATTTTATATGTATTTTAGGAATATCGTGTAGATGTCAAAACGTTAATCAAAATTTTTCTGATCTTCCCCAGCAACAATTTGAGAATGTCATCTCAAAATATTAAAATAGTAAATGTTATTGAAATTTTCTAAATTGACATATTTGTTTGTTTATGTTGTTTTTCGTCTTGATTTTCTACCCTAGGTATCCAGATTTTTGGAACAAAGTCAAAATTCTATAATATTTTACAATTTAGAAACTACAAAACCGACTTAAATTTTGCGTTACAAATATTATGAGTCTACACTCATGGTATGTCAATGCGTTCATATTTTTGGGAAATGCTTATACAGAGTGAAACAAAACATTAATGAATGGAGAAGTTTGCTTTATTGCCCAAATCAAGAATGACTCATCCCATTTTCTAGAAATTTAGGGAATACAGTACTGTTATTATTAGTTTTACATTATACACAGTCCACACATATTTTCAAGAGGGAGTCGAAGAAACGAAGGTACATTGATGGACCGACAGCTGGAAATTTTGTGTTACAGTTGGGGGATTCTTGCTTGTGTTGTCTTTTGATAAAAAAGTTGTATATGAGCGAGTGTTATTAACTTATTGCCGTCCGTGGAATTCCCGTTAATATGAGAACTGGATCTTTGAGGTTAACCTATATTTAATGTTGGTATTTCTGTGAAATAAAAAAAATACTAAAGGCGTCAACTTCCTTCCTAATGGGGACAAATGTGTTATTTTTGATAAACAGATTTGGTTTCAGATACCTTTATGACACCATGTACAAGCATCCCTAAAAAGTAAAATTTTATTGCTGAAGTACAAGAAATGTCATAAAGTGTGTAATAAAATTTCTGTGATAAACTGTAAAATTTATCTTACACGGGTTGTCATTAAAATAATAAAATTTGTAAAATTAAAATCCTATGGCTTATATAGCTTTAAATTAACTTTTTAAAATATAGTTCATACGTTCTTAATATGGATCTTAAATAAAACAATGAGAAAAAGGGAAATAATAAGAAAATTATAAACAACAATCAAAATTTGTTCATTCATCTCTTCCAAAAAAAAAAAAAATGGTGAAAGGTTATTTCGGGCTACTTTAGGGGCTAGGTACAATAAAGCATATCCAGCTTTTTCGAAAAAATATAAAATTTTGTTTTGAAAATTTTTGCAAAGACATCAATTTGGATAGGTGAAGTATACTGGTATTGTATATCCAAATTTTCAGGAAAATGTAGCGAGACGTTTCTGATTTAATCAGTAAAATAAATTGACTCACTCATTTATTAATGTTTTTGAGTCACCCCCTGTGTAATTTCAAAAAATAAGAGTGCAATGATAAATCACCAGTATAGACTCATCACACTTTGCACAGTTTCGATAGAATTTATTCAGAAAAATTGTGAGATGACGTCATCTTTTTTGAATGGGACAGACAGATATTTTGGGTATGCTTACGATAAATTTAAAACGTCTACAAGATTTTAGAGCATTCGATTTTGCAGTTTCTGATTTAATTTTTAATCAATAAAATAAATTGACTCATTCATAAATTTTTTTGAGTCAGACGTATAAGCAATTTAAAAAATATGAATGAAATGCTAAGTCACAAGTGTAGACTCATCATATTTTGCACATTTTTTGATAAGATTTATTTGGCAAAATTTTGAGATGACGTCATCGGATAAATTTTGATTAACGATTTACCATGGCTCCGATGATCTTAAAACGTTTGCAAGGTTCCAGATCATTCGGTTTTGCAATTTAAAAGTTAACAGGGATTCATAAACTACAAGTGGAGGCGTATGTTATTTTATAAAATTTAATTAACATTTACTGTTATAAAAGTTGCAGATGACATCATATCATTGTTGATGGGAATGATCAGACAAATTGTGGTTAGCGTTTTACTGTCTACACCATATTCTACTATACACACAAAATTTGACAACAATCGGTTCGGTAGTTTAGAAGATTGTCTGTCTAATAAAAATCGGCACAGACGCGGACAGACGACAGACGTAGACGGCAGAGCTAGGTTTTCGTACTCTAGGGGTCATGAAATGTCTAGAAAACATTAAAGTAGCCAGTTGGACGATGTACTGGATTACAATACTTCTTTAGCTTACGCTCGGGCAATAATTAATACCGTCATCTCAAAATGTTATCAACTAAATTTCGTTTGAAATGTGAAGGATTTACTCTTTTGCTTGTAGGTTAATAATCAGCTTTAGGTTTTAAATTTACGGATAAATTTCTCCTTGTAGAAACGTTAAAATTTGTCTGAAACGCTAGACAACAAACTTCCGCAAGATTAACGAAAAAAAGAATGTTGCTAAGATCCAAAAGTTAATAGCATCATCTTAAAAATTTTTCTAGATCTTGATTGGATTTAAAACCAAAAGAGTGCGCTGTTCATTCAGGAATGTTTGCGAAATGTGGATGTATAAAAGTATTATTTTGTCATTTATCCCAGAGATATATGTATATAGATATAATAATGGTGTTACATTGTACAAGTCAGGTCAGGTTAGGTCAGGTCAGGTGAAGTTCGGTGAGATCAAGTGAGGTCAGTTTAGGTCAGGTCAGGTCGGGTCAAGTTGGATCATATCAGGTCAGGCCAGATACATTGTAAAAGTCACAACTAAAATATTTTGGTAGATTCACAATTTTTGCAAATCTTCGGGCTACTTAAAGCAGCAGCTAAACATCCGGTTTTCGCTAGAAATATATTCAATTTTATTTTCTACCTAAAAGCAGCAAAAGAACTCAAATGAGAAAAATTTTTCAAGGAAATAGGAGACATGTTGGCAAAGGATGAATATGTTGTCTTTAATACCACTGACGGATATCGCTATGCTAGAAATTGTTCTCGGAGGATAGACTACCGGAAAAGCACACGTAAAACTGACAGAAGAGCAGTTGTATTGCAAAACAAAAAAATAAGACGTCCCAGACAGTCTTACTTTGTTAAAGGCCTCGCAAAGAAAATACCGGAATAAACACTAGGGATCATATATCATGCATTAATGAAGGGAAAAAGTCCTGCATAGTGGGAAGTAACCAAATTGGTTCTCCTGTAGAAAAGCCCAAAAGACAAAAATAAAAAGACATATAAACCTATCTTGAGCAAACTATTAGAAAATCTGACTACCATCAGGTCAAAAAAAAGTTACTGGAGAAAGGAGATCTGTTCTATCAACAGTATGGATCCCGAGACGAGCGCTCCACGGCGGATGCAAATAAAACCAATACATAAGAAAACAGAGGAACTGAACGCGGCAGTATACAAGAACAGAAAATGCAGTACACTAATAGCAAATGTGGCGTCCGAAAGGCGTTCAAGATAGCATCATGGGATACAAACATGAATTCCTGGAGGGTAATAGTCGGAGATATTTCATCGGAGAAACTAAGGAATTGCCAACAACGAAAGGAATACCACAAGGGTCAGTCTTGGAGCCATTGATATGCAACATCTACTATGACGAAGTACTTAGAAAATCGGTGCAAAATGGGGGAGAATAAAGCACGACTACTAAGAAAGATACTTGACGAGGGCCTGGATAAACACCAGAGGATGGCACAGGCAGACCTGGAACTGACCACCGACAAGACGGAAATTGTCATTTTCAACGGTAAAAGAAAAATTGGAAGTTTAAACGTGGAAGTTTACGAAGTAAAGATAGAAGTGAAAGACAATTAATGACAGATACTTGGAAGTGAT